TTAATTAGTAATAATAATAATCCTTGCATTTGATATAGCGCTAAGTGGATTAACTGGTTATCTTGTGGTCAAACCCAGTGGCCAATTTCCACACAGCAAATGTCCCACAAACAATTATAGAGTGAATATATCTTTATGCTAATAAAACGACAATGTCTGTCTGCACTTCAAGAAGGTTCTCAATAACCGATTGACATAGAGGCATGATTTAAACCTCATCAGAAAGTTCTTGCACCTGGGGGTAACATGGGCATATTTGTTTTGGGGTATTGTCACAAGTTATGACCTAAAATATATTTTAGTTTTGCGCTTTCGCTGCAGTTACATTTAATGGCCGCCGAGTCAAAGTGGCGATATGGCTTCATAAGTCACAGAGCACGAACATATGTACATACGCACTGCAGTTACACGTGGTGGCTGTGCCGGCTGACCGTGGCTCTGTGGCATCCTGCGTCACAGAGCACACACGTAGCAGGAACAAAATAAAGAACATAGACGAAGCTAAGCCACGGCAACAACAACAAAATAAAATTTTTAAAGCGTCTTTCACATCGGGAGGACGTCCCAGTAAATATAAATTAAACATGTATATTTATCATTACAAAGCGAAAATCAAACCTTTCAAGGATACATAAAAATGCTCGACAAAAGAAAGATGGCCCATTAAATGAAACTGAAGAACAAAGAACAGCGCAGCTGCACTTCAACACTGAAAGGTCAGCAAAAGCGAGCCAAAATGAGTTGCCCACTCAAAGAACAGCATGGCCAAAATGAGTCCTCCCACAGGAGTGCACCCAGATGAGTATAGATAAAGATGAAATGTCTGTTTGTGTATCAATGTACATTCCATACTGGATCCTTTGGTTGCAAGGGTAGCTGCAACTTGTACAAGTTAATGTACTATGTATGCGCACACAGGGCAACCAAAAAGTTGTGATACCATTACAATGTCCAATAAGTCTTAAAGAATTGATGAAGAAATAAAGTGGCATCACAACTTTTATATATCGAGGGAGTATATATATATATATATATATAGATGTGTGCGCGTGTGGAATAAATAGTACAAACAAGACCTGTGATTCCAGACCTCTTTTAATTTAGTTTAACATGCTAAATGTTTTCAAAAATCGACAATTAAATGTATAATATCTAAAATTCAAAACAATAGTATATACAACAAATCTTTGCTTAATATTTTACCTTCTGTTCCCTATTACAACAACAACAAAATTACATTTGTATAGCACCTTTCACATCGGGATGACGTCCCAAGGCACTGGACAGACAGAGTTTCGGACCTGAGCTGGGGGTCAGGATCGGGAAGGGTGGAGTACAGGGGTGGAGGGGTAGGAAGCAGGAGATTAAAAGCACGGTCAAAGATGAGGGTCCTGAGATGGGTCTTGAAGGAAGCAAGGGAGGGGGCAAGCCGGAGGGACTGTGGGTTGGAGTTCCAGAGAATGGGGGCAGAGTGGCAGAAGGCCCACCTGCCAATAGTGGGGTGAGCGAGGCGGGGGATATGAAACAGGCCGGAGAGGTTCGGGGGAGCATGACCATGAAGGGCTTTGAAGCTAAGGACCAGGATCTTGAACTGTATCCTCTGTGTGATGGGAAGCCAGTGGAGACAGGCGAGAATGGGGGAGATAAGGTCACAGAGCCTGGTGCAGAAGACACGGGCTGCAGAGTTCTGGATGATCTGCAGCCTATAGAGGGAGGAGTTGGGGAGGCTGACAACCATGGAATTTGCATAGTGGAGCCTCAATGTAATGAAAGTGTGTTATGAGGGTTTCAGCGGCCTACGGAGTGAGACAGTGGTGGAGCCGGGCGATGTTGTGGAGGTGGGGAAGGAAGGGTCAAACAAGACCCCAAAGTTCCGGACTGGCTCAGCGAGATCGAGGTGCAACCATGGATGGTGATGCTGTCAGCACCTGAGGTGTGGAGGTGCTGATGGGAGCCAATCAGGAGAGCCTCGGTCTAGTTGATGTTTAACTGAAGGAAGTTAGCTCTCATCCAGGACTTGATGCCTGACAGACATGTCAGAACAGCAGTGGTCCTGGAGTCAAGGATGACTCCAGTTTCTCAAGAAGGAAACACTTAATTCGACACAAATTCTTAACTACAACCAATTTTGGGAAATCATGCGCATGAATTGGCGCATCACCTCTTAGCACAACCTGCTGCAGTACTAATATGTTGTCCCATTTTCCCAGTCAAATTATTGGGTTTTAACATTCACAATGAGTTCTAATCAGTTGCTGGGCCAGTTTCTTCTCCAAACTAACCTTAGGCAAAGAAGATCTTCAATAGAATGTCGTAAATGATCATGTTCCGCATGCTAATTGCACCATATGTGGTGTCCATTTTGAAAACTATTGAAACTCCCCCCCCTAACTTTGAACTGGTTAAACTTCCAAGCTTTGTTCTAAGGCAGTCGTGGCCACCAATGCCAACCAAAAAGTTTTCTTGATTGAATATTTATTGATTTATGCCATAAATAAAGAAATATTTGATCAAGAGAAAACTGGAAATAAAATATTGATTTAAACCAGACTCACCTAGACTAGTGCGAATGTTCACTAGGCCACTTCTTGACACGTATGACCTACAGGCTATGAGTTGGCCACCACTGTTCTAAAGCATAAACCAATTTACAGTCTGAAACCATGAATTAAAAAAGGCCCCAATCCCATAAATAGCAACCACTGTCCCATTCATTCATCTTAAAAAGTGTTTTCCTATTTTTAAAAATATATTTGATTTTTGTTCACCTTGTGGGTAAAGTTCCTCATCGTAAGGGAGTTCAAATTGGATTCACGAGGGCTGCAGCATTCAGCAGAGGAGGTGGCCAACTTTACTTCATTTGTCAGGATATGAAGCAGCTCCAACTAAAAACATGATAAATTCATAAATTACCAACATCAGTTACTAATTATGAAAACATTTTCTAAGTCCAATACAAATAAGCCTCGATGTGGCACCTCATTTAAAACACTGGGAAACTTGAAACCCATAGAGGAAGAAAGTCACTTTGGACATTGTCCCTTTAAGAAAATACCATCTTTTGTAGCCATGTGAATTTCCTTGCCCTGTTGTATAAGAGGCCCTCCTTAAGGTCACCCAGTTCCTTATTTAGAAAAAATAGCGTGAGAAAGTTCGATGTGCAGATTACTGATATAATACAGAAGATACATATTATGTCTGGTCAGATAGAAAAACAAAGAATATGCAGGAGGAGGGTAAGGCAGCTTTTGCTGTGAAGGGTCTACTTAGATCAAAAAATGAGGAAGATCATAATGAAAGATGTAAATCTAACATTCTTTATAATCTGTTCATCAGCCTGAACAGCTATTTGATCTCCTGCTCAAGGCATAGAGCTATTTTGTCATCTGGCTAATATTTTAGCCAACAGTTTTGATGCACTGTTTAACTTAGCTTTGCTTGCAAAAGTCTCTTTTCTCGCACATTTTATTTCTCTTCTTTGAGGAAGTATGGGAGAATTCCCTTTGATAGGTTGCTTGCTGTACATCTCGACCGGGGAGACTGGGAAGGTGACTATGAAACAGGAATCTTTTAATGCATGTTAAAATCGTTCTCAGTAAACGATAGTACTTGTCCACTTGGGACTCCAGGAGCTAAACAAAGTCTAATAAATAAAACCACAATGTTATGTGTGGTGTCCTTACTCAATCTTGGTCTGATATAACAGTACTTTAATGTGCAAATGGGCACTGAATCAACAACAGTCTTGTTTGATACTGTTTTATGATTTTTAAATTACAAAATGTTATTTAATCTAGTTTATCAAACAAATAAACCTATGAATTGCTTCAATAATAATAATCCCTCCAAAACCAAAACCAATAATAAATTGGTCATTTTCAATCTACGACCGTTTGTGGGACATTGCTGTGCGCAATTGGCTGCCACGTTCGCCCACAAATATACAGTCAATTCACTTTACAATGTGTTCTGTGAAGCGCTTTGGGACGTCCTCCCGACATGAAAAGCGCTATATCAAATGCAAGGATTATTATAACATGCAACTTCCATAAAAAATGCATTTTTAATATAAAGAGGACATCCACTAAACAATACTTCTACTAATCTATAGATGTAGATAGATTTCAGACTATCCAGAACTCTACAGCCCAGGTCCTCTCCTGCACCAGGCTCTGATATCAAGATCCTTCTCATTCTCACATTAAGATCCCTTAAAATTCTCACCTCACCTCCTTCAACCATACCGACTCAGCTGCTCCCTTTACTCACCCCTGCCCTATCCACCCCATCAATGGCAGCTGGGTTTTCTGCCATTCTGCTCCTGCTCTCTGGAACTCCATTCTGGAGTCCCTTTGGCTTGCCTCCCTTCCCTCTTTCAAACCCCTTTGACCTTGCTTTCCATCATCTTTCCCCTTCCCATTCCCCTCAGCTCCCACCCCCAGCTTAACTGGCCATTAAGCATTGTGAAACACTCTGAAATATACTCCTAACGTGAAAGCTGCTATATTAATCTAAATCATATTGTATGTTATTTTATGTTCCAAATATTCTCATTCATATAGGACAGGAAAGTTTCCTCTTTGGGAATGGATTGAAGGGAGGACAAGTTGCATATTTAGCCATCTCACAAGCTTTCAAATTATCATTTTTGAAAAAAAATTTCAACAAAGGAATCCTGAAACCCACATCGACTCCAGACCCAGGTACAATAGACATTGACTCCAGACCGAGGTCCAATAGAGAACATCCAATGTGATCCTCCACAATGGAGTGATCCAGAACACAATATTTTTTAAAAAAATATTACAAATGAACTACAAGATACTTCAAGACTGATTTTCATTGTTATTGCTAGTTTTTATATGAATTATTATTTTAAATCAAATGAAAATAGAAGAAAAAAACAATTCTCATTTAACATGCTCATCTGATGTACTATAAAATAGAACAGGACATCAAAAACTGTTCAGTGAAGTGGACAAAGCTTATTAAAAATACCTTGAAGTTTTTTGTGCTTTAATATTTATTTAGAATACAATCTTTGATACAATTATTTAGTGAAGAACACTATTTGGATACTGTACAGAATGACTGCATGACATGAGTATGCTTTACCTTGTTGGTAGTTAGCTATACAGATACACCTTGCACTCAACATCAGGTATAGGCTAGCAACCAATCCTGGTAGCTGCTATAATTACATAAAGCACATATGTACACAAATGTTGTATTGTACATATTCTATATCACAGATGATTTAAACAAAAAAACTGTTAGATACATGATTTAGATTAATTATAGTGCAAATTCAGTCTCTTTAAAGAGACCTCCTCTGGAATAGGCTTTTAATAAAAACATTGATGGCACACCAAAACACAGCTAAGTTTGAATGAAAGAAAATTACCCGTCCCACAATATTCTGTTTCAAACCTAATTTCAAGTTCCAGTTTTGGACAGAATTGATTCTGATTGAAGTGAAAAGCATGATACAGTGGTGCAATATTTTATTAAACTCAAAGTCATATTTATCTGTATTTAGTGCATGGATGAGATCTTTAGTCTTTAGTGAATTAATATTCAAAAATACATATTTGCAGTATAGATGTAACAAGTTTCTCTACACTGAGTTTGTTCAATGCTCTTCAAGAAATGTAAACTGGTATCAAGATATTTTTTTTAAAAAAACCAATAAGCAGTTGGCATGGTCTCAAGTATAAGATGCTCCACTTAATCAAGAAGGTCTTCTATAGCCAAGTAGGTTTGGCTATGAGATGAGTTCAGAGTTAAAACTCTTCAATCGATGGATTAAACTGTCTTTTTCCATCTGGGCTTCAGCAAGAGCCATTTTAGTTTTGGCTAGTTCCTGTTTCAGACATTCGTTTTCATCAAGCAACTACAACAAAATAAAGAAAATTAGTATCCAAATTAACTCATTGACTATTTCAATGAGATATGGTTGCTATCTAATTTTACTTCTCTGGTTCCCTCCTTCCCCCCACTTGAGTAGTCCTCACAGCTGTTAAAGCTAAGAGGACAGACAGGTGACCGGTCCCTACAAAATCTTGGTGGTTCTATACCAACCAGGAGTTTGATATGCATGGAAATCCCATGGTTTAAATTTAAAGAGAGCTCTTGAGTGCTCAATCTCTCATCCTGTGTTGGGGATAGAGAAAGAGATGAACATTCTGTTGGTCTGTGCCTGGAGAATGCAGCTGCAGGTTGGCAAAAGTCAAGGAAGTCATCAAAGGGCACACTGAGGTTCTCCTAGAATTAAATCAGCTAAAATTTCATATCCTAATGCAGCAGTGCAAGCTGCTGTAGGCAAACCGCTTGTCCAGGTAGGATCACTGTCGACTGGGGTGCTGGGGTAAGGATTTATCAGGAGCCAAATGAGAAGAATTCCACCCTTTAGCCACATTTCTGCCCTGCCATGGCCCATTGTTGAGCCAGGCAGGCGGGTGTGTTAGCTCCAGACAATGCTCTGGACTCCTGCTGACCTGCTTGACTCAGGTATTGAATTACCAAGATCACAGAGCATCTCCAATCTCCCTTCTCCAGGTATAAAAAAATAATGAGCCAGTTTATCTTCACTTACTTTTTCCAAAGAAGACACTGTTTTATAAAACACTGGTTAGGCCTCAGCTAGAGTTGAATACTGTGTTCAGTTCTGGGCACCACACTTTCGGAGGCATGTTAGGGCATTGCAGAGGGTACAAAGGAGATTTACCAGGATTGTACCAGAGATGAGGGTCTTCAACAACAACAACAACAACAAGATTCCATTTATAAAGCGCCTTTCACGTCAGGAGGACGTCCCAAGGCGCTGCACAGTTGGGTCATGACCTGAGCAGGGGGGGAAATGGTCAGGGGGAGGGAAGGGAGGGAGCGAGGAGGGGGGAAATGGTGAGGGGAGGGAAGGGAGGGAGCGAGGAGTGGGAGAGAGTCGAGAGGGGAGTTGAAGGCTCGGTCAAAGAGAAAGGTTTTGAGACCGGCCTTGAAGGAGGAAAGGGAGGAGGCGGCGAAGGCACTGGGGGATGGAGTTCCAGAGCCTGGGGGCTGAGAGGCTGAAGGCCCGACCACCGATGGTAGGGCGGTTGGGGCGGGGGACGTGGAGCAGACCGGAGCCAGAGGAACGGAGGGTACGGGCAGGTAGGTAGGGGGATAGTAGGTCGGAGAGGTAGGAGGGAGCAAGGCCGTGAATGGCCTTGTAGGTGAGGATGAGGATCTTGAAATCAATCCTCTGGGGGATGGGGAGCCAGTGGAGGCGAGCGAGGGTGGGAGTGATGTGGTCCCGAAGCCTGGTGCGGGACAGTACACGAGCTGCAGAGTTCTGAATGACCTGCAGCTTGTGGAGGGAGGTGGCGGGAAGGCCGGCGAGGAGAGAGTTCCCATAGTCCAGCCTTGAGGTGACAAAGGCGTGAACTAGGGTTTCAGCAGCGTGAGGGGTGAGGTAGTGCCGTAGTCTTCAGTTATCAGGAGAGGCTAGAGAAGCTAGGATTATTCTCGTTGGAGCAAAGAAGGTTAAAAGAAGACTTAATAGAAGTTTTCAAAATTATGAGGCAATTTGATAGCGTGAAAAAGGAGAAACTATTTCCACTGAGGGTTCGGTCGGTAACCCGAGGACACTGTTTTAAATCGTTGTTAAAGAAACGGAGGGGAGGTGAGGAGAAATTTTTTCACACAGCGAGTTGTTCGGATCTGGAATGCATTGCCTGAAAGGGTGGTGGAAGCCGATTCGATAACAGCTTTTAAGAGAGAAGTAGATAATTATTTGGGGAGGATAAGTTTGCAGGGCTATGCGGAGACAGCAGGGAAGTGGGATTGATTTGGATAGCTCTTTTCAAAGAGCCGGCACAGACACGATGGGCCGAATGGCCTCCTTCTGTGCTGTATAATTCTATGAAGACCTGACAAGGGCAGATATGAGCTCTCATAATTTGAGATCAGCTACAAAGAATTCTTCCTGAGTAATACTGCGAATAGCACTGCTGTACTTAAGTATTCTCACCATTCTCCATCACAGCCAGAATACACAACACTCTACCGTTAGAGGACTTCAAGCTTCACCAATAGCTGCAAAGGACTGCAGATCATAAACAGAATGTTCATGCTCTCAATGACACATTCCAAGAAATGCCTTTGAGCAGTTGCCACCTGGAGCCTTTGTTTCTCTGGTCAGTTTTAACAAACTATACCTTCTGGCTTTGATCCACATCTCCCTGCCCAAGCCCCTCCACCATGTGTGGTCGGGCTTTCAGCCTATCTGTCGCCACTCTCTGGTGCTCTACCTAGAGTCCCTTCAACTCACCCCTTCCCTCGCCTCATTCGAGGAGGTATCAAGACCTTCATCTTTCAATTATCTTTTCCCCCTCCCACCCCCAACTCGGTTGCAAACTGTGGACTGTCCATTGCTTTGGGGCATCCTCCTGATGTGAAAGATGCTATATAAATGTAAAAATGTTCTTATTGTTCTTGAAGGTATGATCCTTGCAGCTTACAATGTTTACAGCCTCATGAAGTCCAGTATCACATTTTTTTCCAACTTGACATCAAGCCACTCAGTTGCTAAATTTTCCGAGATACTGCTTAGGTGAAGGGTGCTATATAAATGCACATTGTTGTTCTTCTTACCTGTTCCCTGCCATGAAATGAATATCCAGCGGATGACTTGCTCTCTTTCGTATCTCTCTGCCCAGGAGGACAAGGTTTCTCTGGAGGCGTCTGAGTAGACTGTGACACATAACTGATTTTCTCTGATTCATCACATTTTAAACAAGACAACACTGTTTTTGTGGCTTTCCCATTTGGTAGATTTTGCTTAGGTACCTGGGTACCTGAATGGGACAAACAAATCAAAGTAATAAATAATTCAAACCCAAAGAAATACTATACTGTGTCTGCTAACATAAAACAAGTAAGGTTTTGAATTGCTAACAAATAATTTCACCATATATAAACATTAGTCTCAATCTAAAAGTGCCAAATATATGACTTAAACAATAAAACAGCATTGCAGAAAACCTGTGATATTTCATTAAAATGTATCAGTCACTAAAATCTGAGACAAACATGATCAAGTTAGCCAGATAAAAACATCTGTAACAAATAACACAATTATGTTTTATATGCAGCACAAACTACATCGGATTATTGCTATAAAATATTTCATTACAACTCAGGTTCGAACACTTTTGTTGTAGCTTATCCAAGATATTCAGAATAATTTCACCATCACTTTATTGCTTGTTTGCATAGAGATTGACCAATTTCGAGTCATCAGATAGGATATGAAGTATAGCATTCATTTCACTTACTACTACATTAAAAAAATCTTTAAAATGTTATATCAAGTGAATGTAAGTTCAGGGTGTACAATTTCATTCCACTGTGAGCACTCCCAGGTCAGGTGTGACATAAGAAATAGGCAGAAACTGTCCCAGCAACATTCCTTGACTCTAACTGTCAGAAGCCAACTCCCAAATGCACCAATAAAATGTTTCCATTTCCTACAGCAACCATCCTAAAAGTCTTTTTTGAGCAGGACTATTAATCTCTGGGGTGTATGGACAGTTTCATGCTAAGATCCAGTCACTGGGAGCACAGCAGAGACATTCCAAACTCATTTCAGATAGGACTTAGAAAAAAGTTTAACTCATTAACCTGGATTCAAAATCATCTCAAAGGTGAAAAAATAGTGGTCTGCATCATTGCCTCACCTAGTTCCTTCAGTAATTCTATTCTTGAACTAGATATTGGATAATGCTTGCAACATCAAAGGTCTTTATCAGCTGGGTCAATGCTTTATGAGGATAGAATTGCAAAAGGGCTCTGATTCCTCATTTGCTGCTCGCTCATGAACCAGTTAGGGTGCAGTCTTGGCATTCTGCTTGACCCTGAGCTGCGTTTCAAAGCCCCACATCTGGTCAATTACCAAGAATATCTCCTTCCACCTCTGGGACATTGCTATTTTACCTTACCAACTCCCCTCTCTCTTGGCTTTCAAAATCCTCCTTAAAAGAGATCTCTTTGACCGTCCACAACTTCAAATCACTCTTTTCTCTGCTGGGTGCTCACCACTACATTTGTCAAAGACTTTGTCTTAGGAAAAGTGCTATATAACTGTCCTTTTTTTTTTAATTGATTTGGCTCAGGAATAACAGTTCCTTCACTTTACCCAGCTTCTTACCAGTCTGAGAAAGAGGCCTACTTCCACTTTGTGGATGTTAACATAGTTGGGGTGAAAATGCTGAACACTCTGGTTTCTCAATTAGACTGCAGCTAACCATTACAACGTTTCTCCTTCAACCAGATATTCCAGTTGAACTCATATGTGAGTTCCAATTTTTTTTCAAAAGTTCTGCTAGAATTAATTTTAGACCACTTAGGCTGCACTGTAATCCCACTTGTATGACACTGTCTCATTGGCCATGGCTAGATTTGTGGAACAACACTCATTTTGACCAAGGGCAGCAGGGTGCAGTCTACAAAGCTAAAACTGTGACCTCCTGAGGCAATTCAAATCTGAAAAGGGCAGCTCTATCCTGGTGGCAGTTCAACAAAGCATGGTACTTATTGATCCAGTTAATGAAAAACAATCCAAAAAGTAGACTGTTATTCAAGGACATTTGCTATTCGGCGGTAGCTCAAAAGTACACTTTATGATGCATCAGATTTATTCCATAAGCCAAGACCAGAGATTTGAGAGAAGACCTGGTGTGCAAATTCTGTTTCATGAATGAGACAAGGACATACTTCCTTATCTACTGAAAGACAGAAACAGAAGGAGCAAAATTGAAGCTCCTCAAGGTCCTTTATTTAGTTCAACAGCATGTTTCTCTACATGAATGGTCCACATAGATTGACAAGTCAGAGCACACATATCCCGATCGGAAAGGAGCAGGCAAACTTAGAATGAATATGGATTAATTTGATGAGGTGCAAAGTTGGATTCATTAAGTCACTCCCACAGTTAATTCAAATGAGGTTAAAATAAAAAGAATTAAAGTTTGAAGCCAAACAATCAAAAATTGCTGTGAGTATTCCATCCACGCAAAAGATATGCACAGTAAAAGTCACAAAACATCCCCCTTGTGGAATTCAACAGGAAGTAGCTTGTTGCTGAGTAATAGAGGGAAAAAAAAACTAAAGGTCTGCTTGAAAATAAGATTATGAACTAGTATATCTGAGGGAAAATATCAAGCCCGGGAGATCTTCTTTCGCCAGCTACTCCCTGAGACAGAGGAAATTCATAATGAATGAATAAATTTACTAATTTGTGACAAACAGAGTGGTTTTATTTATTACTATAGTCCTGAGTTATAGGTGTGAATTGAGAATTTTGTTAAATTATGAAACTGTATCCTTAAATGATGCAAGGATTAAAATGGATGAAAGTGCAATTTTACTGAATATACACAAGTGCCATGAAACTGTCAAAACAAGTAAAATCTAATAAATTTGTTAAATATAAAATACTTATACTGTAAAACACTGTTCCTGAATATCAAATTCATAGAGCTTCTAAGAGAATTTCACAAGCTATAAGATACAATCATGGTCCATCAACAAGGTTCATAGTAACACTTCATTCATAAGATTCAAACTATTTATCTATTCAGGCCATTTCAATAAAATTAGGAAAGTCCTTACCTCCAATACAAAAAGTTCCCTTATCATTTCGTTGAATGATAAGATCATCAATTAACAGCTCCACTAGCATTGGATCATGAGCTGATGGATCACCCTGTAGATTGTCATCCTGCAATTAAAATTATAATCACAATTATTTTCTCATGGCTTTGCAGTTACATTACAACCAGTAATGCTCAATTCTTTATTTTGTATAAGCTTTTTAACAAGATGCTGTATTTGGCCCCTATAATGACTACAGAATGGTTCCAAAAAAGTTTCTACAAATAGCTTTAAATTGCTGGTATGCTTCAAGTGCATCAATCAGTTGGACAGGGATACAGCTCCTGATGCAACAACAAAAAATACATTTGTATAGCATCTTAAATGTAATGCCTAAGTCGCTGGACAATCAGGGGTCCGCACTCAGCTGGTGGTTGAGATTAGGAGAGGTGGAGGGCGGGAGGATAGGGGTGACCGAAGGCATGGTCGAAGAGGAGGGTCTAGAGACGGGTCTTGAAGCAGGAAAGGGACTGTGGGATGGAGTTCCAGAGGGTGGGGGCAGAGAGGATGAAGAGCCGCCTGCCTTCAGCCTTTCTGGCGGGGGATGTGAAGCAGGCCAGAGCCCGCTGAGCAGATGGAGTAGACAGGTTGGTAGGGGGTTAGGAAGTCACAGAGGTAATTAACAGGTGGAATTGGTAGCTCAGCTAAGCCACTAAACAAATGCTAAATGATCACAAGTTGTGACAGTTGATTCGTAAACAGAAACATTTGAGAACTTTGCTTAGTGGGCCTAATATGCAATGATTTCTAAACAGGTTTACTTCATAATACTGAAATAATGTCAATACGGTTCACAGGAACTCTGCTTTGTTGCAATTTACTTTCAGAATGTTTGACACAGCATAAAGATCTTTCCTTTAGCTGTTTTTACATACTTCTGTTGCTGATTGCTGAAAGGAATTCCTTATTAAGGAATCCCATTCACAATCACTGCATATTAGTCACCAATATAAAGGAAAATGCCAAAGTACTAACAAGTGGTCTGTGAGAGGACTCCTAAGTGATGTGGGTGTGCGGGGTGGAAAATAGCTTCTTTTTCAAGAATCAGAGCATGAAGCTCCTGAAGGAAGACATGGCTGATCTTCTAACCTAATTCCATTTACCTGCCCTATCCCCATATCTCTTAATCCCTCTATCCTTTAGAAATCTATCAACCTCAGTCTCGAATATGTTCAAGGACTGAGCATCCACAGCTTTCTGGGGAAGAGAATTCCACAAATTCACTACCCTCTGAGTGAAGAAATGTTTCCTCAACTCAATTCGAAAAGGCTGACCCTTAATCTTGAGACGATGACTCCTAGTTTTAGATTTTCCAACCAGGGGAAACATTCTCACGGCATTTACCCTGTCAAGACCCTTAAGAATCTTATAGGTTTCTATAAGATCACCTCTAATTCTTCTAATATTCTAGAGAATATATGCCTAGTTTACTCAACCTATCCTCATAGGTCAACTCCCTCATCCCAGTAACCAACCTAGTGAACCTACACTGCACCCCCTCTAAGGCGAATATGTCCTTTCTTAAATAAGGAGACCAAAACTGCACACAATATTCTAGGTGCGGTCTCACCAAGGACTTATACACAACAACAAGATTCCTTTTGTAGAGCGCCTTTCACGTCGGGAGGCCGTCCCGAGGCGCTGTACAGTTGGGTCAGGACCCGAGCAGGGGGGAAATGGTCAGGGTGAGGGGGGGGGAAGGGAGGGAGCAATGAGGGGGTAGAGTCGAGAGGGGAGCTGAAGGCACGATCAAAGAGAAGGGTCTTGAGACCGGCCTTGAAGGAGGAAAGGGAGGAAGCAAGGCGAAGGCACTGGGGGATAGATACAACTGCAGCAAGACTTCCCTACTCTTGTACTCTAACCCTTGTGGAGTCCTGTAGCTCAGTGGTTAGAGCACTTGCTTTGCAAGCGAGAGACCTGAGTTCAATTCCAGGCAGAGGGCGAAACCTTGGGCACGTTTCCTTACTCCACACGTCTAATAATAATCCCTCCAGAACCCAAAACAATAATAAATTGGTCATTTTCCATCTACGACTGTTTGTGGGACATTGCTGTGCGCAATTGTCTGCCACGTTCGCCCACAAATATACAGTCAATTCACTTTACAGTGTGTTCTGTGAAGCGCTTTGGGACGTCCTCCTGACGTGAAAAGCGCTATATCAAATGCAAGGATTATTATTATATTATTATTATTTTGCAACAATTCCAACATGGCATTAGCCTTCCTAGTTGCTTGCTGTACCTGCATACTAAGGACACCCAAATCCCTCTGAACACTAGCACTACCTAGTCTCTCCCCCACTAGAAAATAATCCACATTTCTATTTTTACTACCTAGGTGAATAACTTCACACTTCCCCACGTTATACTCCATCTGCCACCTTCGCTATCACATCACTCCCACCCTCGCTCGCCTCCACTGGCTCCCCATCCCCCAGAGGATCGAATTCAAGATCCTCATCCTCACCTACAAGGCCATTCACGGCCTTGCTCCCTTCTACCTCTCCGACCTACTATCCCCCTACTTACCTGCCCGTACCCTCCGTTCCTCTGGCTCCGGTCTGCTCCACATCCCCCACTCTAACTGCCCTACCATCGGTGGCCGGGCCTTCAGCCTCTCAGCCCTGGAACTCCATCCCCCAGTGCCTTCGCCTTGCTTCCTCCCTTTCCTCCTTCAACGCCGGTCTCAAGATCTTTCTCTTCGACCATGCCTTCAGCTCCCCTCTCGACTCTCTACCCCCTCCTCGCTCCCTCCCTTCCCTCCCCTCACCCTGACCATTTCCCCCCTGCCCGGTCCCGACCCAAATGTCCAACGCCTTGGGACATCCTCCCGACGTGAAAGGCGCTCTATAAATTAAATCTTGTTGTTGTTGTTTTTGCCCACTCACCTAGCCTGTCTATTTCCCTTTGCATTCTTTGTGTATCATCCTCACAGCTTACTCTCCCAGCTATCTTTGTATCATCCTCAAATTTTGATATGTTAAGTTCTATTTCCTCATCTAAATCATTGATATAGACTGTAAATAATTGAAGCCCAAGCACTGATCCTTGTGGCACTCCATTAGTCACATCCTGCTAATCTGAGAAGGTCCCATTTATCCCTACTCTCTGTTTTCTTCCTGTTAGCTAATCTCCAATCCATGCTAATATATTACCTTTAATTTCATGGGTTCTAATCTTATGCAACAGCCTTTGATGTGGCACCTTGTCGAACGCCTTCTGGAAATCCAAATACACCACATCTACTGGTTTCCCCCTTATCTAATCTGCTAGTTACATCCTCAAAAAAATAAAAGATTTATTAAACATGATTTTCCTTTCGTAGAGCCATGTTGACTCTGCCTAATCATATTATAATTTTCTAAGTATCCCACGATGATGTCTCTATTTAAGAACTCCAGAATTTTCCCTACCACCGATGTCAGACTGGTCTATAGTTCCCTATCTTTTGTCTCCCATCTTTCTTAAATAGCGGTGTTACGTTTGCGACCTTCCAGTCAATGGGAACCATTCCAGAATCCAGGGAATTTTGAAAGATCAAAAACAAAGCATCCACTATCTCTGCAGCCACCTCTTTTAAAACCCTTGGATGCAGGCCATCAGGTCCAGGGGAATTGTCGTTTTTTAATCCTATCAATTTCTCTAGTACTATTGCTTTACTGATGTTCACTTCTTTAAGTTCCTCACTAACATTAGCCTCAAGGTTCCCCTCTATTTTCGGTAAGTTTTCAGTGTCCTCTAACGTGAAGACAGAAGCAAAATATTTGTTTAATGACTGCCATTTCTTTATTCCCCATTATAATTTCTCCTGTCTCTGCCTGCAATGGACCCACATTCACTTTTGATAGTCTCTTCCTCATTATGTACTTGTAAAAACTCTTACAATCTGTCTTTGTGTTCCTAGTTAGTTTATCCTCATGTTCCATTTTCTCCTTCTTAATCAGTTTCTTGGTTTTCCTTTGCTGTTCTCTAAAGCCTTCCCAATCCGCAAGTTCACTGCTGTTTTGGGCAATATTATAGGCTTCTTCTTTCAATTTCATACTTTTCCTAAGTTCTCTAGCTTGCCAAGGTTGAACCACTTTTCCCGTGGTATTTTTAATTTTCAAGGGAATATGTGATCGCTGGGGACTATGTTTTACATATTTAAACGTTTGCCATTGCTGCTCTACCATCATTTTTTAATCTAATTTCCCAGTATATTTTAGCCAATTCTTCTCCCATACCTGTAAAGTTGGCTTTATTTAAATTTAAGTCCCTTGCTTTGGATTCAACTATATCACTCTCTAACTTAATGTTAAATTCCATCATGTTATGGTCACTCTGCCCTAGCGTCCAGATTGCTGATTAGCCCTATTTCATTACACAAAACAAGATCCAGGAGAGCCTGTTCCCTGATTGGTTCCTCAGCATATTGTTCTAGAAAACTATCTCTAATGCATCCTATAAATTCATCCTCTAATTTACTTTTGCCAATTTGGTTTTCCCAGTCTATATTTAGATTGAAATCACCCACTAATATTGTACTATCCTTGTTATATGCTCCTCTAATTTCCTGATTAATACTCTGCCCAATACGTTAACTGCTGCTTGGGGGTCTATAAACTACTCCCACTAGTGTTTTCTGCTCCTTGTTGTTTCTTACCTCCATCCAGACTGACTCTACATCCTGATCTTTCCTCTCTACTGTTTTTATCTCATGCTTTATTAGCAGGGCTAACCCCCCACCTTGTTTTCTACATTGCATATCTTTCCTATGTCGAATATCCCAAAACGTTTAGCTCCCACCGTTGGTCTTTGTGTAACCAGGTCTCAGTAATAACCACTAGATCATACCCATTTACAGCAACAACAAGATTACATTTGTATACAACAAGATTACATTTGTATAGCGCCTTTCACGTCGGGAGGACATCCCAAGGGACTGGATGGACAGTGTACAGCATTTAGTGAACTTAATTTGTCTATCTTGTTACGAATGCTTCATGCATTCAGATATAGCACATTTAATTTTGACTTCTTACTATTTCCCCTACTTGTTAATGCCCTATCTCCTTTGTTGAGCTTTTTGTCCCTACTTAACACACTCTGTTCTTTATCTCCCCAGTCCCTACTCTGCTCTACAGCCATGACTGAATGTCAGTTTATGCTTAACTGTAGCTGTAACCCTCCCTCCCACCTTAATAGTTTAAAGCTCTGCCTATCTCCCTATTTAATCATTTTGCCAGGACACTGATCCTAGGTTAAGGTGGAGCCCATCTCAATGGAACAGCTCTCTTTTCCACCAGTGGCCCATAAAATGAAACTCTTTAAGCCACCCATTTAACTCTTTAATTTGTTTGTACCAATTTGCGTGTGGCTCAGATAGTAATCCAGAAATTATCATCTTGGATGTTTTTCCTTTTAATTTCATTCCCAGTTCATTGAACTCACTCCTCAGGTCGTCACTACTAGTCCTACCTATATTGTTGGCTCCTATGTGGATCACCACAACTGGATCATCCCCTTCCTGCTTCAAATTCTTCTTCAGCCCTGAAGAGACGTCCTTAACCTTGGCGCCAGGAAGGCAACAGAGCCTTTGTGACTCCTGGATGCGGCTGCAGAGAAGAGTGCCTGTCTGCCTGGCTGTCTTGTCCCCTATCACAACCACATTTCGTTTTGCTCCCCCCCACTTGTGTGGCCTTCTGTATAGAGATGCTAGGGTCAGTTTGCCCATCTTCCTCCTTACAGACTTCCTTGTCCACACAGGTTGCAAGTACCTTGTCCTGTTGGACAAGGTCAAAGCCCGAGACTTCTCCACCACTCTCTCTGAGGTCCCCTTACCTGTCTGACTGTCAGTAACACTGTCCTGTCCCTGACTAGTAGCAAAATCTATACATTTACTGAGCCTCAGGGGAATGATTGTCTCCTGGATGAAACTATCCAGGAAGCTCTCACCGTTCCTAATGCGGAGCAATGTCTGCACCTCAGATTCCAGCTCAGCTATTCTAAGATGAAGCTTCCTCAGTTGCAGACATTTGCTGCAGATGTAGTTGCCCAGGCTCAGGCTGCCCTCCATCAACTGCCACAATACCTGCCATGCCATTCTTTCCTCTCTCTCTCTCTCTCTCACTCTGTATTATGGTTTTTATTTAAGTTTCTTTTTGGGTTTTTTCAAGTTTTTTTAGTTTTTTTTCTGGTTCTGTCGTTTGAGTGACGTCACTTGTCATTTTTCTGCAGATCCTCCAATCCCCCCACCGAATCAGTGACTGCTTACCTCGGCTAGGCTTTATACCCTCTGCTAGGCCTTGGCTCCTCCCCGCACAGTCCTCGCTCCACCCTCCAAATCTAAATTAACTAAATTAAATCTTCCTTTCTCCCCACCCTTGCCACAGTAAGAAGACCATCTCCTTCGCTCTCCTCTTCCCAACCTCCATTTCTTCATTCCTTGCAGGTAATAATATTCTTTATCCCTGCATTTTAAATCTACAGATTCTCCAAGATGAGGATTGGGCAGCTATGGCCCGTCTACAGTGTGACCCAAAGTGCAGCCTTGGATATTTTTTCCTTACTTCTCAATGGCTGCATAGTTCACCTTCACCGATTTCTTAAAAGGTTAGCTTATAGAACTTTAATTATAAAAACACATGCACCACTTTGCTATAGTGAGGAATGCGAAGACAAAGGTAAGATTGTGAAACCTAATTAGTTATACCTTTAGGTTTATCCTTGTATCAGTAATTTCAATCTTCATGGGGATTATATCAGAAGACACCTCATCTTCCAGAAATTTCCCCAGATTTGTAAGGGATGACATTAGGAACTCAGACTTGAATTTCTCAATCTTGCACTGCAGGAAACCACTTTTCACTGCTAGTGGAGAATGGACAGCAGTAGTTGGCCCAATCTCCAGCCGTAGATTTACTTCAGGGATTTCTTTTCTGTGCTCCGGGATCTGAGTGGAGGTTTGTCGATCTAACAAAAAAAAGGACAGGATTGAAAATAGATTTTGCAAATCCCTTCAATTCAATAGAATTAAATGAAACTTAATTTGTAATTAAATAACTTTTTTTTAAAAAAAGAAACATTCTTGGTGTAATTGTTCCAACCTTTGCAATAGATTCATATTATAGAAACAGGAGGAGGCCATTCAGCACCTCAAGCCTGTTCTGCCATTCTATAAGATCATGGCTGATCTGTACCTCAAGTCCAATTACCTGGCCTTGCCCCATATCCCTTAATACCCTGACCGAACAAATAGCTATCCACCTCAGTCTTAAAAATGTAAATGGATCCAGCATCCATTCTTTTGGGGGAAGCAGTTCCAGATTTCCACAAACCTTTGGGTGAAAAACTACCTCCTGATTTCACTCCTAAATGGCCCAGCTCTAATTTTAAGATTATGCTCCCTTGTTCTGGATTCCCCTACCAGAAGAAATAGTTTACCTGCATCTACCCTATGGAATCCCTTTATTATTTTAAAAACCTCAATCAGATCACTCCTCAACCTTCTAAACTAAAGGGAATAGAGACCAAGTTTACGCAACCTGTCCTCATAATTTAACCCTTTAAGCCTTGGTATCGTTCTGGTGAGTCTGCGAAGCACACACTCCAGAGTCAATATATCCTTCCTGAGGTGCAGTGCCCAAAATTGAACACAGTACTCCAGATGGGGTCTATATAGTTTATATGAGCTCTATACAGTTGAAGCATCGTTTCCTCTCCTTTATATTCCTCGAGATAAAGGCCAACATTCCATTAGCCTTTTTGATAACATCTTGCTAATTATTTTTTCAGCAAAGTTTGATTGAGTAGACTCTTCGAGTAATTTCCAAGTGATGCCCAAACTGTTCAAAATAATCTATACTAATAAAGAGGAAATGTCTGTCTGTCTGCCCACTAAGAACGCAATAGCTGATTTGACGTAGAGGCATGATGATTTATACCTCATCGGAAAGGTCTTGCATGAAGGGCTGCCACCGGCATATTTTTTTTCGGGGATATCTTATTGTTGATGGGCTATACTAAAAATGCTTAAAATACGAGGTATGTATGGTATTCTGCAATAAAGAAGCGACAGAGGAAATCGCACACCCTTTAGAGAGATACATCGGGAGAGAGAGAAGGAAGGAGGAAAGTGGAGAAAAAAAATTCAATGCTACATTTTTTAAATTAAATCTCTCCCCACAAGAAGAGGGAGGGGAAGAGGGGAAAGGTTATATGAGCATGTGAGCGAGCGAGCAAGCGTGCATGAGTGGGTGAATGAGTGAGTGAGTGTGTCAGGAGGAAGGAAGGAGGAGAGAGGGTTAAAGTGATCACACATGTATGGCAGTTTTGCTTAATGTGTACACAGTGTTTATGGCATGTTAAATGGTTCATGAGTGGTATCACTGAAATCTACATTCCATTAGCTTTAGCTGTAACAGGTATAACTAGTAAAAAAAAATCCTTACATTTAACATATCACATCAGAAGAATCTTCTCAAAGCATTCCACAGAATTTATTTCTAAAAAAAAGTATAAATAATCCTTGCATTTGGTATAGCTCCTTATCACTCTGTTAAGATGTCTCAAAGCATTTCACAGAATTTTACTATGATGTCTAGTGATGTGTAGGCAAACAGTTATCAATTTTGGGCAGAGCAATAAACAGCTATGAAGTGAATAACCAATTTTATCTCAGGGATTTTTGGCCAGGTGACTGGGAGACACTCCCTTCTCTTTTTAAATAGTACTGCAAAATCTTTAACATGCACCTGACGACGTTTAATGCAACGCAATCCCATCTTTGGAGTGCCATCTTAAATTATATGTGTTCAACATCTGGACATGGGATTTAAACCCACATCCTTCTGTCTCAGGGGAGGGGTGCTACCAATTGAGCCAGGCGGACATCTGGACACTCGAATTAATATGAAATGTTCTCAAATTCCACATCATTAAGCTTGGTTACGCCTGTACACTACAACAACCTGCATTATGTTATACATCTTTTAATGTTGTGCAATCTTACACTGATGTAGGTCTAAGCATTGCTGCAATGCACTATTCATTCAATGCCTCTGTTCACACTGGATAGCGTTTCCCCATTTACTATAGGTACAATAAATCATAGAATTATACAGCACAGAAGGAGGCCATTGTGTCTTAAAAGAGCTATCCAAATCAATCCCACTCCCCCGCGCTCTCCCCATAGCCCTGAAAACTTGTCCTCCCCAAATAATTATCTACTTCTCTCTTAAAAGTTGTTAACGAATCGGCTTCCACCACCCTTTCAGGCAATGCATTCCAGATCTGAACAACTCGCTTTGTGAAAACATTTCTCCTCACCTCCCCTGTTTCTTTTAACAACTATTTTAAAACAGTGTCCTCGGGTTACCGACCCACCCACCAGCGGAAATAGTTTCTCCTTGTTTACCCTATTGAACTGTCTCATAATTTTGAAAACTTCTATTAAGTCTCCTCTTAACCTTCTCTGCTCCAAGGAGAATAATCCTAGCTTCTCTGGCCTCTCCTGATAACTGAAGTCCTAGTCCTGGTACCATCCGGGTAAATCTCCTTTGCACCTTCTCCAATGCCTTGACATCCTTCCTAACGTGTGGTGCCCAGAACGGAACACAGTTCTCTAGCTGAGGCCTAACCAGTGTTTTATAAAAGTTTATCATAACTTTCCGACCGTTGTATTCTATCCCCTTATTTATAAAGCCTAGTATCCCTAATGCTTATTTAACAGCTTTATCTACCTGTCCTGCCACCTTCAGAGATTTACTTATATGAACCCCAGGTCTCTCTGTTCTTTCACCCCCTTTAGGATTGTACCATCAGCTTATATTGCCTCTCCTCATTCTTCCTCCCAAAATGCTTCACTTCGCATTTCTCCACATTAAACTTCATCTGCCACGTGTCTGCCCATTTTACCAGTCTGTCTATGTCCATTTGCAGTCTGCTACTGTCCTCCTCACTGTTTACTACTTTTCCTAGCTTAGTATCATCTGCAAACATGGAAATTGGACTCCCTATACCCAAGTCCAGATCATTCATGAGAACAGCAGTAGTACTCAGAATACTACCAGACTACGGCACTACCTCACCCCTCACTGAAACTCTGGTCCACGCCTTTATCACCTCAATAATAATAATAATAATAATTCTTGCATTTGATATAGCGCTTTTCACGTCGGGAGGACGTCCCAAAGCGCTTCACAGAACACACTGTAAAGTGAATTGACTGTATATTTGTGGGCGAACGCGGCAGCCAATTGCGCACAGCAATGTCCCACAAACAGTCGTAGATTGAAAATGACCAATTTATTATTGTTTTGGTTTTTTGGAGGGATTATTATTAGGCGTGTGGAGTAAGGAAACTTGCCCAAGGTTTCGCCCTCAAGGCTGGACTATGGGAACTCTCTCCTCACCGGCCTTCCCGGCACCTCCCTCCACAAACTGCAGGTCATTCAGAACTCTGCAGCTCGTGTACTGTCCCGCACCAGGCTTCGGGACCACATCACTCCCACACTCGCCTCCACTGGCTCCCCATCCCCCAGAGGATCGAATTCAAGATCCTCACCCTCACCTACAAGGCCATTCACGGCCTTGCTCCCTCCTACCTCTCCGACCTACTATCCCCCTACTTACCTGCCCGTACCCTCCGTTCCTCTGGCTCCGGTCTGCTCCACATCCCCCGCCCCAACTGCCCTACCATCGGTGGCCGGGCCTTCAGCCTCTCAGCCCCCGGGCTCTGGAACTCCATCCCCCAGTGCCTTCGCCTTGCCTCCTCCCTATCCTCCTTCGAGGCCGGTCTCAAGACCTTTCTCTTTGACCGTACCTTCAGCTCCCCTCTCGACTTTCTACCCCCTCCTCGCTCCCTCCTTTCCCTCCCCTCACCCTGACCATTTCCCCCCTGCTCGGGCTCCTGACCCAACTGTACAGCACCTTGGGACGTCCTCCCGACGTGAAAGGCGCTCTATAAATGGAATCTTGTTGTTGTTGGTGCCAATACCGACCCCTGGGGGACACCACTGCACACTTCCCTCCAGTCAGAAAAACAACCGTTCACCGCCACTCTCTGGTTTCTGTCTCCCATCCATGCTGCCACTGTCCCTTTAATACCGTGGGCTTCTATTTTACTTACAAGTCTCTTACGTGGCACTTTATCAAACGCTTTTCGAAAATCCATATAAACAACATCAACTCCACTACTTTCATCCACCCTCCGTTACTTCATCAAAAACTCTATCAGGTTTGTTAGACACAATTTGCCTTTGACAAATCCGTGTTGACTGTCCTTTAATAACCCTTTTTTTTTAAGTGAAAATCTATTTTGTCCCAGATTATATTCTCTAGAAGTTTCCCCACTACTGATGTTAGGCTGACTTGCCTGCAGTTCCCAGGTTTATCCTTCTGCCCCTTTTTGTACAAGGGAGTAACATTTGCAACCCTTCAGTCCTATGGAACTACCCCATTATCCAAGGAGGATTGAAAAATTGTGACCAGAGACTCCGTTATTTCAATGCTTACTTCCCTCAGTAGTGTAGGATTCTGCCCATCCGGACTGCGTGACTTATCTACCTTAAGCACAGTCAACATTTTTGGTACCTCCACTTGGTTTATTCTTATTGTATCTAATTTCTCTACCCTCTCCTCTGATACTGTGGCATTGGCTGCATCCTCTTCTTTTGTAAAGACAGATGCAAAGTACTCATTCAACAACAACAACAACAACAAGATTCCATTTATAAAGCGCCTTTCACGTCAGGAGGACGTCCCAAGGCGCGTACGTCAACTGCCCTTTGCTTCCACAAGAAGATTTCGTTTTTGGTCCCCAATTGGATCCACCATAACTTTGACTAACCTCTTACTCTTTATATGCTTATAAAATACCTTAGGGTTCCTTTTTATGTTACCCACTAATCTTTTCTCATAGAATCTCTTTGCCCCTCTTATTTCCTTTTTTCAGCTCTCCTCCTATATTCCAT